TGCTAGGACGAGGCATGTAGAGATTGACTACCACTTCGTGAGAGATAAGATGGCTTCTGGGGACTTGATCGTTCAGTTCATTTCTACTAAGGATCAGTTGGCCGACATCTTCTCACGAAGGCTCTCGACTCTACTCAGTTTTTTTTTTTTTTAATGTGACAAACTCAATGTTGTGGCCTTACCACCTTGAGTTTGCAGGGGCGTATTAAGACTTATCTTATCTGGTGTTATATTACTTCTGTAAGTCTATGTTATATACGATTCTAGGTTGTATATCTTGTAATCTCTTTATCGTTGCTTTGGTTATCTAATACAATTACCAGACTCCTACATTCATCAATATACAATAGACACAAAGCTCTTGGCAACAATATACAAATTCAAACCGTTCACGACCAAAAATTAAATTAGAAGTGAACAAGACTAAATAAAATTTCAGAAACAAATAGAAGAAAGATAAGAAAAATAAATAGAACAATAAACAAAATTAATCCCTTTTTTTTTTGTCCTTGTTTTTATTTTTTTATTTTTTTTCTAATACAACTGTGACCATGGAATGAATTAAAAATAACAATGAAATACAAGATTGAAAAAAAAAATGACATTCAAGAGCTAAGGATTCTAATAACCATTTTGCAGTACTAAAATCATTTTTAAAAATTGACATTTAATTTGCTTTGAAATACTTAACCATTTTGTAGTACAAAAATCCTTTTGAAACGAGTTGATACTCAATTTAGTCATTAGTTATAGTGTTTTTTCTCAATTTAGTTCTAAACGTCTTTTTGTACTTAATTGGATTCTCGACTTTGATGGTTTTTCTTAATCTAATTTTCGACTATTAGAATCAATGACTAACTCGAGAAAATCGTAATAGTAGATGACTAAATTAAGGAATTAATCATTATATTTGTGGACTAATTTGGATAAAACTACTATAATAGAAAATTATATTGGTACTACTAAAGGGAAAATTACCAAGCAACCGTTACAAAGGACTTAATTATGGAAAACTATCAAAGTCGAGGACTCAATTAAGCACAAAAAGATTTTAGAACTAAATCGAGAAAAATCAGAATAATCGATAACTAAATTGGGTATTAACTCATTCTGAAACTATGCACATTAATAATGACAACGGGGCGGGGGCGGGAAATAGAGTCCCTGTCCTCACGAGGATTTTTTGAGTAGAGTGTAATATATATATATATATATATATATATATATATATATATATATATATATATATATATATATATATATATTATTTACAATAATTTAAATATCTAAAATATAAATAAATAATTTAAAATGTTAATATAAAGTATTCATATTGGGCACTTATTTTTTGCGTATCGCGCATAAAAAATACTTGTATATATATATACTCTCTGTCCAATTTTATCTATCATACTTACTATTTATCGGTAAAACCAACCTTTTTCTTCTTTGCTTGTTTCTATTAACATTTTCTTATAATTTTTAAAATTGATTTTTTTTTGTGTCTAATAGTTTTTTAAATTTAGTTTCTAAATATATAAATTTTACATACTAATTCTAAACTTAATATTATGAAAAATTAAACTGTAAATAACTTTAGTCAAGCATCGTTAACCGAACCAGACACATAAAATGGGACGAAAGGAGTATATAATTTGAGAAATCAAGGACGAAACTTGAGGTCGGGTTTTGGGCCGGGGATGCCATCCTTGTGAGCGATGGGAAAGCTCTCCCCAAGGCGGGGATAGGGTTTTTCCATTCAGATTGGATTGAATTGTCATCCTTAATAGACATCAATTAAAATGATAAGTGAAAATAATTTGACAATTAAAAGTAAAAAAGACGGAGTTCACTACTCCACTATTTGCTATAATCTATACTATATATAAAAACAAAATCCTGAAATTTTTACTTCCCGCCCAATTCCTAAAAAATCTCTCTTCCTAATAAAATATATTGATTTCTTTTTTCACATTCGTACAATAATTCTGCGTTAAAATTCTATTCTAATATTATAAAATAGTGTAATACAATCTATACTATCTATATTATATATAAAAACAAAATCCTGAAATTTTAACTTCCCGCCCCAATTCCTAAAAAATCTCTCTTCTTAATAAAATATATTGATTTCTACAATAATTTTGGGTTAAAATTTTATTGTAATATTAAAAAATTCTGGGTTAAAATTTTATTGTAATATTATAAAATTGTGTAATACTATTCCTATTCTAATCTATATCTATTTTATATATCAGTGTTGCAAAAATCGTGCCGCTGGCCGCGTCGAGGAAGGCCGGAATCGGCCTCCTCAGCGACCGCCTCGCCGGCTGAACCGCCCTTTAATTTTTTATTTTTTTTTGAGTTGTAAAGTGTCAAAAGTTCGGCAAGGCATAACTTTTGACTTCGTTGTCCGTTTTGGACAAATGTTTTTTTGAAATCGCGTATTTTTTTAGATCTATCCACCGCAAACTGCCGTAGGCGGTTTGGCCCACCAATTTCTAAAAAAAAAGTACTTTATTAAAGAGTTTCTAAGAAAAAACTATGAGACCCTTATGTTTTATTAATGAATTTTTAAAATTTTTAATTAAACAATTGTCCCGTGCATTATTTAATAATCTTCCCTTATAATTGGTCAAATTATTTAATTATGGTAAATTTGGAAATAATTAATGATGGTAATAGAAATCCTAGAAGAATATAGAATTGAACAATATTTAATTATTGTTATATTATTATTGTGACTCACAGAATATAAGAGTTAATGCCATTTTTGGTCTTAGACTTATTGGGCATTGACACTTTTCATCCTCCATAATAAAAATTGTCACTTAGTAGCCATTGTTATTGATCGTTGGACAGTTTTGATCCTCCGTCAATGACGCTGTTTGTTGACCGTGAATTAGAAGGGTTTTTTTTTGTCTTTTTATGTTCTAATCCTTGTATTTCTCCATCCATTGGTCACTGCTACATCCATTTCTTCAAACTGAGGTTATCCGCTTCAGTCCTTTCAAACATTAAGAAACCATCTTCACCGAACTAACAATCATGAATTTAACATTTGACATCAATCTCAAGATAATGGAAACAAGTGCAGTTGGAATAGAAAGGGCGTTAGTCCATGCCTGTGGAAATTTTGTCGAGCATACAACATAACTAGCAAAGTCAGGAATATCACCCAACCCCTCCCTTAACCTATTTGCATCAACTATAATAGGTATGCCCCTACTCTTTGCCTCTTGCACTACAATCAAAGCAGTCTCATGCAGCCTTCCATCTAAGTAGACAATATTTACTCCAAGTGCTGAAGACAATTTTGATTTGGGTATGTAGACCCTCAGATATCATGGGTGGATATCCTGGAGTGAAAATGCACGTGCGAGTTTTTTTTTTTTTTTTTTTGGTTGTCAACAATGACATATGTGAATGGTGAGTTTCCTCCTTTGGACACCACCATAAAAGATGTATCAACACCATCCCTTTCAAGCTCATCAAGTATTCTTTCGCCATGCGAGTCATCAGCAACCTTAGATATGATCCTTGGATTAAGACCAAGACGAATTTTATCATCCGGGTTTTATCAAAGCATTGCCAGTGTTACCACCTCCTTGAACCTCAAAGCTGGTGCTCTGAATTTTATCATCCGGGTTGGGGAATGAAGCTACAGCAGCCAGGAAGTCAACACTGGCCATTCCAACACCTCAGACAATGCAATTTTTGGGGAGCGGCGGATTCCACATTTTCAGCTTGAAACTTCAATGAATTTCAGGTAGAATAACAGAGGTTTTGAGGTTGTGCACCAAGTAGTTGTGGTCAGAGAGAGAGAGAGATGGGAAGGATATTTGTGGTCAATATGGAAGGGAGGACTTACAGGTGCAAATTCTACATCACGCCATCTACAACTACAACTGCTATTTACCATAGGAGGGTTCGCCGACCTGCTGCCCTCTCTGCTTCGCCGGAACCAAAAACCACCGGTGAAGGCCCCAACCTCGCCGGATCTGTTGCTGCACCGCCAGATCTGCCTTACTGGTCCGTCGCCGGAAGAAGTTACTGCCTCGTATGCTCGCCGCCGTACCCACAACTCGCCGGAGAAGAACCTCGCTGCTACTCACTACTGATGGTTACTACTTAGCCGCCAAGTCTCGCCATCTCACCTCACAGGAGTCACAGCAGCGCTGGTCTAAACAAGATTAGAAGAATAAGACATAGAAAGACATAAAAGCCCTTCTAATTCACGGTCAACAAACGGCTTCATTGACGGAGGATCAAAACCGTCCAACGACTAATAACAATGTCTACTAAGTGGCAATTTTTATTATGGAGGATGAAAAGTGTCAATGCCTCAATAAGTCTAGGACAAAAAATGACATTAACTCCGGAATACAATACAAGAATATTTAATTATGGTTATATTATTATTCTGCCTCACGACCATTATATACTAACAGTACTTGAAAAGAAACTAATAATAATAATAATAATAATAATAATAATAATAATAATAATAATATAAGTGGTAATAATAATATCTAAAAGTAATTAAGTGTTAATAATAATAGTAAGAATATTAACGTAAGAGTTGTAACATAGAATAAATTGTAATAATTAATAACTATAGTCTAAGATTAAATTTGGAATTGTCAGGTAAGATAAACGATCTCTGGTGAAATTAACTCTTAAATAATTATATATCGATTTAAATATTCTTAATATATTACAACAATTCCGTGAAAATACTAGTTATGAGTAAAAAATATTATATCGGATATAAACTCAATTGCTGGATCAATTTTAAAGATAATTTTATTTTGCTAGCAACATTAAGATGATTAGGTATAAAATTGACTTTATTATAAGTATTAATGCACAATCATTTGATTGTTCGTAAACCAGTTACCTCCTCTCTATTAAATTTCATAAATAGGAGCGGTGAGCCCTCATGATCGGATAGAATCATTTAATTTACAAGGAAATTAAAATCTGTGGTTAGTATTTCCCTTATTTGAAATTTGTATTTTTACTGGCTAATTTAATTTTCTGTCTCTCTCTCTCTCTCTCTCTCTCTCTGCTCCAAGACTCAACTTTTCACATTTCGCATCCCTTTCTTCTGTGAGCTTCTTCAAGGTCGCTCAACGGATTGTAGTCAAAGCTCAAAATCCAGATTACAATCACGAATTGAAAGCTTCACAACAGCGACCGACCAACCAACTGAGCAGCCATGACCAAATCTTCATCTCCCCTTCTCTCCCTTCATTTATAATATTCAGACTTTTCAAGAATGATTTAGACTCCTTTGACTTTCCACCCCTCCTATATACAGAGGCTCAGAGCTAGAGCCCCTTTCATTTTTTCTGTTTCACTAAACAAAAGGAGTTGCGAAATTCCCCGGAATTTGGGTTTTTTTAAGAGTGATCAATGGAGAAGAATATGATGATTATCCCGAATTACTATCAGCTTGCAAAGTCTGTGTCCTACCAAGATTCTCTTAAGACCCTTCAAGCCGATATTGATTATGCCAATATGCTGTAGGTTCTCTATCCTTGATGATTTTATTTCGGTTTGAATTTAGTGAAGAAAACTGGGGTTTTTCTCCGTGATGATTTTTGTGGGCTTTTCAGTTTGAATTTAGTCAAGAAAACTGATATTTGTTTTTCCTTGATGATTTTTGTGGGTTTGAATTTAGTCAAGAAAACTGGGTTTCTTTTCCAAGAATTTTGGGTTTGATGGTTAATAAGTGCAGAACATTTTCACTTTCTACTGATTGTTGATTGATTAGTGCAAGTAATGTAGTAATGTGGTCTATTTGTCTTTCTTTTTGTTGTTTATTACCTGAAGTTTGTTGAATTGTGAGTTTGAACAAAAGGGTGAGAGACAGAACTCACAAGTAAGTTTGTTTGCTTGTTTTTTACCTTTTTCATATTGTCTGTTTTCTTCATTGAATTTGGGTTAGTGGTTAATTATTGCAGTACTTGTTCTCATTATAATGATTGTAGATTGAGTAGGGAGACTAATGTTGTCTATTCTCCTTTCTCTATGTTGTTTATTACTATGAAGTACGTTAAATTGTGAAGTACTCCGTATTACTGAGTTTGAGACAGAAGATAAAGTTTTCGACTTTCTATTTACTGTATGCCCATTGCCCAGATTATGATTGCAAAACAAATTTGGCTTATACATTTCATGGTAGCGGAGTAATGGGAAACTTGTGATAGTAGCTTTGCTGGTAATCTGTTTGTCAGGATCGTGTGAACTTGGTGAAATTACGAGAATACTGTTATGTTTCTGTTACAGTAATTATCAGTTTTAGTAGTAGGTTTCAAGTTTCCTGGTTTTGTTATAGTATTCCTAATCGGGAATTTGTATTCTAGCCTTTATTTGCATGAGATTTGTTTCATTCCCTATTGGCTGATCATGTGATATGTGAGTGAATCTGGTGAATTTATGACAGTACTGTCATATTAGACGGTTACATATTGAAAAACCAATAACAATAAAATGCCATTTAGCTATGTGTATATATAGGTAAGATTTCTTGGTGTTGTATTTAATTCCATGAATGGTTACTCACTTTTGTTGCAGGGCAACTTCGATTCCAAGATTCAAAGGTGGAACTCGCTTACAAATGAAATTGGTCTACGATAATTTGGCACCTTTATTTCTGTTCTTGGTCCAATGGATGAACTTTTCTTGTACATGCTTACTCCCGAGCTATCTGAATCTCTTCCATGTTCTTTTATTCGAGGCAAGGATGCATTTCTTCATGCAAGTCGTATTTAATTCCCTGGCAAGAACAAATCTGATATTCTCGCTGATTTGATATGTTCTTCAGGTTTCTCCTGATGGTAAGCGGATGCTTAAATCACATGGAAGGAAAGCGAGCGTAAGGGAGTTTTATGGTATGCGCATTGCTCTCTCTGTCTTGTGTGATATAAATATAGCCTTTTCATGATTGAACAAAAAGACTAAGCTGATAGTTGGACTATACATTTATGTTTTATATGCTCAACATTCACCTATTAAGGATAACCCTTTGCCATCTGAAATAAGCTTATACACAACGTAATTGCAGCTGTGATATTACCATCTCTACTGCGCCTGCATGGTAATTCATCGGGGAGGGATGGCAGCCAAGACGGCGTACAGGAGAAGAGGAAGCATTGCGATGGTGATTTGGAGCGAGAAGATGAATGCGGGATATGCTTAGAGCCCTGCACCAAAATGGTTCTGCCAAACTGTTGCCACGCCATGTGTATTAACTGCTATCGCGATTGGTAGGTCACCTCTTGCTCTCTAACCACATTAATTCAACTGTCAACTTACCATTAATGAATGCTGGATTCAGGAATGTAAGGTCTGAATCATGCCCCTTTTGCCGGGGAAGCCTGAAAAGGGTGGAGTCGGGAGATCTTTGGGTTCTCACGTGTAATGGCGATGTCGTCGACCAGGAAACCGTCTCAAAGGACGACATGCTTCGCTTCCATGGTTATATAAACAGCCTCCCTAAAGATGTTCCAGATGCCCTTTTCTTAGTTTATTATGAGTACTTGATATGAACTGTGTGTGTTGATATAATTGTACAGGAATCTCAAAGATCACCAACCACCCTCCTCCATTAATCAATTCCTAACTTACAATCTTCTGCAGAATAATGTATATCCTCATCATATTTCTTCATAAAGGCTACCATATATTAATTCTCTCCCTTTAGCATTCTCAATTGTATTTATAATTTTTTTTTTCCTATTAATCCCTCCGTCATATTTTATGTGTTTGGTTCGGTTAACGAGACTTGATTGAAGTTATTTTTAATCTAATTTTTCATAATATTAAGTTTAGTATTAATATATAAAAATTTATATATTTAGAAATTACACTAAAAGTACTATTAAACACACAAAGAAATTAAATTTAAAAATATTAAAGAAAATAAACAGAGAAAAAATAGTTAATTTGACTAATGATAAATTTAAAAAATATGGAGTAAAAACGTTGAACTATGCTTCACCTTGCCAGGTGAATCATCAATCGTTGTACCGTGCATCAGGGTGCACATAGTAATGTGCGCCCTGCGCCTCCCAAAACGATATCGTTTTGTTAATTTTAGGTATAAAATTCTGTGTATTCTATTATATAATTCTGTACATTCGAAACATGAGAATTTTCAGTTATAAAATTTTGTGTTTTCAATTATAAAATTCTGTACATTCTATTATATAATTCTATACATTCGAAATATGAATTTTTTTTTTAAAGAGTTAAGAGTTTATGTATATTATGTATGTATTATGTTAGATTATGTGTATTATCCTTTCAAAAAAGATATGTGTATTCAGTTATAAAATTCTGTGTTTTCAAGTATAAAATTTTATGTATTCTATTATACAATTCTATACATTCGAAACATGAATATTCTTTTTTAAGGAGTTAACAGTAGACACGTGAAAAAGTACAAAACGACGTCGTTTTGGGTCAGGACGCACAATGCAGCATTGTGCGCCCTGGTGCACGGTATAATTTGCCGTGAATCATTTACATAAGACCCATTTTTAGTATAATAAAGTTATTTTTAATACATTAAATGTTTACTTTTCTAAGATTCATTATTTAGTAGTATATCAAATAATGAAATCTTTAATACATTAAAATTGAACATTTAATATACTAAAAATAAATATTTATCTGTAGTTCACATTTTTATACAATATAATTTGACGTCTTCCTTGCTGTCTCAAGAAACCACTCAATTAATAATGACATGTTATGAGGTTAAAGAAAAAAAAAAAAAAGAAATGTTATAAGTTTTGTAATTACTTATCACGACAAATTATTCTGTGGACCGTGGTTCACACAGCTGTGTGGACCACAGTCCAAAACAATATTGCTTTGATGTTTATTTATTTTATTTATTTATTATTATTTTTTTTTACTTTGCGTGCATGTTAGAACAATAAATATTATGAGGTAAGATAATGTATTTTATAAGTTAGAATAATGTATTTTTATGTGTTAGAATAATATACTTTTTATGTGTTAGAATAATGAAATTTTTGGGATAAGACGAAAAGAGCTTTCTTCGTCTCCGATGGCGAGATGAAGGAAGAAGGGAGTCCTCCTTTCTTCATTCGTCTCCACCGAGACATGAAGGAGGAAGGGTTGGGGGTGGCAGTCGTTTTGTTTATTTTATTTTATTTTTTTAATTTTAAAGTTTTTAATTTAACAATTATTAAAGTAATTTTGAAAATAAAAGTTAAATAAATTAGCCGGAAATTTTAATGGCAGGACTAAATATGATACAAATTGAATAGTCATGCACCTAATTTGAAAATGTTAATAGTCAATGACCAAATGTTGAATAATCATGCACCTAATTTAAAAATTTTAATAATTAAGGATTAAAACTGATACATGTACTAACAATTTGTTTTTTTTTTTTTTTTTTTTTTTTGAAAGCTACTGGCTCTATTACATTGTAGTATCTGTTCATATACTTTCTCAACCTACTGAAATACAAAGAACCAATAACGCCTCCACTCAAACTCGAACTCATAATCTTACGCCTCCACTCAAACTCGAACTGTCCAATCCGGGTACCATTAGAACAATTTGTTTAATATGGCGTGATTTTTGAAATTTTTTTGTCACGTTCGAACATTTTAATATTTCATCATATCAAAGTGATAAGATAAAAGGCAATTTAATAGTTATAATAAATGTGTGTTTGGTTAGCACAAGTGAATTATAATTATATTATGTGAGAGTAAATTTAATCTTCCACCTCTTACACTCTGAGTTAACAGCTTGTGGAAGAATAATCAACAAAAGCTAAATTTTTACTCACTAAGTGAATTCTTTATTTCTTATGATAAATTTCATTTTTATAATCAATTGAGCAGTGTATGCACATAATTTCCTCATTATTCTATTTAATTGTACGGAGTGTGAAGGTGTTTGAGATAAAAGCTTCCAAACACCGAAACACAGCGGAGGCATGCACCACCGCCCACCGCCTATTATATTGTGCCCTCAGATCACCAGTCACCACGTGGACTTCCACCGCTTAGGCAGCAGCAGCTATATATCCCATTCTCAACTCTTCCACTATGTTTCAAGCCCTAAACAAATGCCGACAACCCCACCTAGCTATTACATACCTCTTCACTCTCATTATTTTTGTATGAAAACATCTTCAGCATCACGTACTCCAACTAACGTAACTTTGAAATTCTGAGCTCAACTCATCAGACTAGCAGCAGCAGCATGGAAGAACACACAGATTTCGTGCGATTTAAGGTATATATAACATTCATATATATTTTGAACAACTGTCAAATAGATTGATTATATTATTGTTTTTGTGCCATTGACTCACTAAATATAAAAGGTGTACAATATCGAATCATCAAATAAACAAAATATGTGTAATTGAGATTTTTTTATAATTTCTGTTAATTCAATTTAAATTGAAAACATTTTAATTTTTCATTTTAACCACTATGAAAGAGAAAAGAGAGATTCTTAGTACATAATCAAATTTTACTCAAAAAATGTCTTAATTGTATAAATTTTACTTGTTTAAGTTCAGTGACTTCCGATAAGTTTAGTGATATATTTAGTAGTATTTCCAATATATTTTGTTGTTCGATCGGATGGCTGCGCTGTTACATTTTCTCGTGTCATGCATGAAAATATGTAAAAATATTAAAATATTGCATGCAATTTCTTGCAGAGAGGCAAATTGCGTCAACCAAAAAACATAATCAAGATTAAGGTATGCATTATATATATATATATATATATATATATATATATATATATATATATATTATTCAGTACCTTCTCCTAAGGTTGAACTCCAATCTATTTTAGATTCTGTTTGTGTCGGGCGGAGCTCAGTGAAAGAGCGAATCCAGAACTAATGTGTTGTTTGGTTGAATGTAGTTGCAATTCAATTACAACACAATTTTTTATTAGCCACTATGTCGAATCACAATGTTTAATTTAATTGGAGATAATTGTAATTCCCTCTATTTGTGAATTTAGAATTAGATTCTTAGACACCATAGGAATTGTAATATAATTTGGAGCAGTGGGAAAAGGAAAAAAAAAAAGAAAAGACGATCCTTTTTCCCATTATTATTATTATTATTATTATTATTATTATTATTATTATTGTTGTTGTTGTTATTATTGTTATTGTTATTATTGTTGTTGTTGTTGTTGTTGCTGCTGCTGCTGTTCAAAAGCATTTTAGTCTTTATATCACATCTTCTCTCCGGTTTCAATAATTCTATTCCTCCTTACAAAATAATGTAATTTGTATTTCTACCTTATTTTCTTTTCCACTGAATTATAATTTTTTTTTCCATAATTCCTTCCTTCCAACCAAAGGCTATGTAAGGGATTTTTGGGTGGAGCTCGGTCTGAAGGTCGGGTCAAATCTAGCACCCTATTTCTCGAAATGTGACAATATAACAAAATAAAGTTAAGGCTTCAACTCACTACTAGCTACTTAGGGTTTTAGGTCACCTTTTGGTAGTGGTAAGCGTTTGATTCTAACATACTTAGATGAGGTCTTCATTATTAATTATGTAGTTGGAATGATGTTTCTTAGTTATTATTGAGATTAAGCTGATATATTGCTTTTTAATTTTCATAATTAAACCAGAGAACATCTACTCCTGATGATGTAGCTGCTGTTCTTGCAAAGGTTAATTTGTATTCTTCTACATACCTCTTTCACTTCATATTCAATTTATACACCCACTGTACGTACTGTTGACTCACTTAATTAGCTTGCAGGCTGCAGCATATTCGATCTGGATTTTTAATCTTCCTAGCTACTTCAATTTGTTTTTATATACTATATCTGTTTCTTATAGTTCACTGATAGATGTTTATAATTAATTTGATATATATATAATTGGCAATCTTTAATATAATCTTATTGTATGGATGTTAGGAGAGAAATCGAGACAATAATAAGCATACAAAAGGTGATGATGAGGAAGATGAAGCCAAAGAATATGGAGATGTTTTAGATTTTGGTGGTGAGGTGAGTGGGAAGAATCGCCACATCACCCATGGTTTCCATCTGGTAGAAGGGAAGATGAAACATGGCATGGAAGATTTCCTAGTTGCAGAGAATAGGAAAATGAAGGGCTATGATCTGGGTTTATATGCAATTTTCGACGGCCATTCGGGGCGTAAGGTTGCACAATACTTGCACACTCATCTCTTTCATAACATATTGAAAGAGGTAATTATAATTGAAGTATGTAGCCTAAGCTAATGATAGTTGGATTATATTGCACATTTATGTTTATATATATTATATTATATGTGGGCACTTCTCTTTTTATCGGGTGATACCAAAATGAAACATATATGTGTGCTGCAATGCATGCATCTCAACTAAAAGTCTAAGCTGATAGTTGGATTATTACACATATATATATTATATGCTCAACAGTAATGGCACTTCAATTCGACTTCTTGTCTAGCCATAGTAATCCTCGAGCTGAGGTTGCAAAGTTTACATAATAATCTGTGATATCGTGTTTGTTCTATCAACAGCCTGATTTCTGGGAAAATCCTGCATCCGCCCTTAAGCGAGCATACAAAAAGACAGATAATGAGATCTTAAAGAACGTGGTTGGTGCTCGGGGTGGCTCCACGGCAGTGACTGCAATATTGATCAATCAGAAGCAGCTCGTTGTAGCCAATGTCGGGGATTCGCGTGCAGTTCTTTGTCGGAATGGGGAGGTAAAACAAATAACAGTTGATCATGATCCACTCAAAAGAAAGGAGAAAAAGATGGTTGAGAGCAAAGGAGGATTTGTTTCTGAAAAGCCAGGTACCAGTGTAGGATTCTGCTAATCATAACATTTACTCATATCTTATTTGATTCTTACTTAAGGACCTTTGATATAGTGAACAAAATATATTGTACATTTACTCACAATGGATAGCTATATATTGTTGATATTATTTTTGGGAGTCACAAGGAAAATCCACCACCTCTGCTTGAGGGTGTACATTAAATAAATCTCGCCCGTGGCCCGTTTAAAGATCGATAAATCAGACTAGATTGTTCATAGCTAACCAGCTTAAACTAAGAAGGTCAATAGGTCATTTTCACCCGGAAATAAGTCTCCATTTACTTGAGGACCGACCTTGGATATAGTGAACAACACTATAGTGAACAACACTACATTTACTCACAATGGATGGCTATATATATATTGATGATGTTATTGAATGTGTTTAAAATGCAGGAAATATTCCTCGTGTGGACGGGCAGTTAGCGATGACGAGGGCGTTTGGAGATGCAAAACTCAAAGAGCACATCACTGTGGAACCTGATGTAACAATTGAGAAGATAGACAAAGAAACAGAATTCATAGTTCTGGCAAGTGATGGCTTATGGAAGGTAACAACTAACATTAGGATGTTTGTTGGTATCAATATTTGATCCATTATTTTATCATATATATATGGCACCCCGGCCCGAACAATGAAATCTAGAATCAACATGAGAACCAAAGGTCAATGGTTCGATCCTTGGCTTTGAGTATGGAGCAACCTTATATCTCCAGGACAGCTGTCTCATCCAATGACCCAATAGAGGTGCCTACATACAATTCAGCGAGAAGTTTAGTCACTGTGTTCGAGCCTTAGGAAAATAAAGTTCAATCTTCTTCTTCTTAATACTCGGTTATCAAAATTTCATGCTCTCTATTATTTTGACATTACAGGTCACCTCAAATGAAGAGGTAGCAGATTGCATCAGAGAGATGAAGAGTGGTCAAAAGGCAGCTGAGGAGTTGATTGAGGAGGCGCTTTTACGAGGTAGCAAAGATGACATTTCTTGTGTTGTGGTGAAGCTTGGCTGATTCCCAAACTCTGGGATTTGTAGTCCTCACTGAATTGCTAATTTCGTCTTCCCTTTTTGGGATTATTGTAAATTTTATAGTTAATGCTAAGAATGTGCTGAGGGTGAACTTCCCAGATTTTGTGCTTGTCTTTTGAGGTCAGATGATGTTTTCAGGTTTGTTTTGTGTCTCTGTTTGAGTGGATCTCATGTAAAATTGTTATTATTAGGGTTATTATTATAATAGTACTAGTAATTAAGGTTATATATGTTTGACATAGCTAATTTAAAAGTTAGTTTTATGGAATTTAAAAGTTAGCTGTTAGTTTATTTTGAAATACTATTTAAGGTAGCGTTTCAAAATAAGTAATGATGAATGGTATATTATGGTTTATTGTCTACAACTCGGTACGAGAAGGAATGACCAATTTGAGCCTATTTATATTGATTCATTATTCTTGGATTGAATTTATTTATGATTTAATGTGTAATAAAGATGGTTAATATGAGGTAGTTTAGAATTTTTATTCTTTGTAGGGCTTTTAGCCTAAAATATGTATTAATAAATCCCTCATATATGAGAAGGGATAAAGCAATTTTTATTATCCACAAATAATATTCAGCAATATAACATTGATATTTTTTTTTTTTCATATTTTCTATATTCTCATATGATTGTGTTGACTAGCCGTTGTACTTCAATTTTTTTTTTTAAAAAAAACCAACAAGTTATTATTTTAAATTTTTCATGGTTTACCAAACATAACTTATAACTTATTTGTATAAGCTCTAAAATAAACTATACCATATAGAGCTCAAGTCTTTAGTAACTTTTGCCTAGCTAAACTAAGGCTTAATAGAAATGTCCAAATGAGATGATTCAAGTAGAATTGAAAGGCACCTGTACGGTTCGGATATGCGAGCTGGTGGGTCCCGGAGCGCTCCTAGAGCGGTTGGGGATAGCGGAGCGGTTGGGGATAGCTGGCTTGTGCCGGTTGACGTGAAACCACGACCACTGGGAGTCAAGCTACGTGTTGTTGGGTCAGTGGATGGGGGACAGGGAAGTGGGGGTGTCACACCCATGAGTATGTCTAAGGATGAGTTGGTGGTGGCTACGGTGAAGTGTCGTAGGCATGGGACGGAGGGGGGAGAGGATAGTGGAAATGATGAGGTAACGATCGCTGCTGTTTCAAAAAACTTGTCCATGGCGGGAGCTGGTGCCCAGCCCCGCCCATCATCATGAGTACTTTGAGCTGGAACTATCGTGGTTTGGGCAATCCACACACAGTTCGACAGATTGTGGGTCTAGCGTCCAGTAAGAAGCCTGATTTTGTGTTTTTGATGGAGACAAAGGTGCCACGGGTACATGCAGAACGGATCCGTGTTACGCATGGGTATGAGGGTTTGTTTTATGTTGATAACGATGGATTGAGTGGAGGAATGGCGCTTTTATGGAAGAAGAATAATACGGTAAGACTATTAAGCTACTCGCAGAGTCATATTGATGTGGAAGTAAGCTTGTTTAATAGGTTATGGCGCATGACATGTATCTATGGTATCCCCGAACGAAATAGGCGGGAGGAGACATGGGATTTACTTCGCACTCTGAAGGATAGATCCTTGTTGCCCTGGGTGGTGATAGGGGACTTTAATAATCTTCTATATCAGCCTGAGAAGAAGGGGGGAAATCCGTATCCTAATAGTCTGTTACGGGGTTTAGGAGATGCTGTGGATGACTGTGGTTTGATGCAAATGTCAATGAGAGGCCACCAATATACGTGGCAAAAGGGAAAGGGGACGCCGAATTGGATAGAGGAAAGGTTGGACAAGGCTCTAATAACGAATGATTGGGGTTTGATGAATGAGAATGCATGGTTAGAGAACATTCGAACCCGGGATTCGGATCACTCAATCCTTTTCCTCAGTATTAATGCGATTTGCATGCCAAGGGGAAGGGGGCCGCGGAGATTCAGGTTTGAGATGGCTTGGCTGTTAGATGAGGGGTGCAAAGAAGTAGTAGAAACGGCCTGACATGAGGGGAGAACGGAGGGATTGCTGCATTGTCAGCAGTTGTGTGGGGAGAAGTTAATGTGGTGGGGGGAGACCAGTTTCATAAATTCGGAAAACGAATTAACCAGCTACAGCAGAGGCAAGATGCCATACGGAATAGGCGAGATTTGGTGGCGCTAGCTGAGTACCAGCAGATTGAGAATAACCTGAAACGAATAGAGGCCCAGGAGGATGTGTTCTGGAGGCAGCGAGCCAAGCAGCACTGGCTACGCGGGGCTGACGCAAACACAACATTCTATCACAGGTATGCCTCTGCACATAGGAAAAAGAACTTTATTTCTAGTATTAAATGTGATGCTGGTAACTGGGTGGAGGGGGATGATATGCATTCCACTATACTGAATTACTTTGACAATATTTTTGCCTCTAATGGATTGAGCTGTGATGATCCGCTATTTGGGGTCCTAACCCCACGAGTCACGTTAGAACAGAGTATGATGTTAGACCGCCCTTTTGAAACTGATGAGGTTAAAGAGGCTCTTTTTTCAATGTATCCGGATAAGGCACCGGGTCCGGATGGGTTAAACCCGGGTTTCTACCAACAGTTTTGGGAGATAGTGGGAGGAGATGTATCTGGCTTTATAACGAATGCGTTGAATTCCTGTGTATTCCCTGAGGGATTAAATGATACTAACATTGTTTTGATCCCTAAGAAAGAGATGCCTGAGACAGTTGCAGATTTAAGGCCGATTGCGTTGAGTAATGTCATTTACAGAGTTATGGCCAAGATGATAGCAAATAGGATGAAAACACTAATGGGAGGATTAATGTCAGAATCCCAGAGTGCTTTTATCCCGGGAAGGCTAATCACTGACAACATCTTGGTAGCGGCAGAGGTAGGGCATTATCTGAATAGAAAGCAGTGTGGTGTAGTGGTTTGGAGTGCATTGAAGATAGATATGTCAAAGGCCTATGACAGAATGGAGTGGAACTTTCTAGAAAGGATCCTGACTGTTATGGGTTTTAGTGAGAAGTGGATAAAGCTCATTATGCTGTGTGTAACGACTGTTAGTTATACTGTAATGGTCAATGGTATAGCAGGGGGCGTGTAAAACCAACTAGGGGACTCAGGCAGGGAGATCCTCTCTCTCCGTATCTATTTATTATTTGTGCAGAGGCTCTCTCGATGATATTACAGTATGAACAGTTGGCAGGCTCTATACATGGATGCAGAGTAGCAAGGGGGGCACCGCCTGTATCACACTTATTTTTTGCGGATGATAGTCTCCTATTTTTTAAAGCAAATATCCAGGAGGCGGGAGTTATAAGGCAGTGCCTTGCAAGGTATGAGAAATTGTTATATGTTTTAGCAGAAATACCTAGGAGAATGACAGGGCACAGGTAGCGATTGTCTGGGGGTGGTGCAAGCACCCAATTTTGGGAAATATTTGGGCCTACCTTCCTTTGTAGGGAGAAATAAGAGAGCTGTTTTTTCATATGTGGAGGAGAGGATCAGGCAACAAATTGGTTCGTGGAGTAAAAAGTTACTTTCTCAGGCTGGTAAGGAAGTACTGTTGAAAAGTGTAGCGCAATCTATGCCTACCTATTCAATGAGCGTCTTTTTGTTACCTGAGACAGTTTGTCAGTCAATTGAGCGAACTATGAATAAGTATTGGTGGGGGAATGAAGAGACAGGGGAATACATTGGAAGGCTTGGGACAGGTTGTGCATACCAAAAAAGTATGGTGGTATGGGTTTTAAACAGCTAAGGGCTTTTAATCTAGCTATGCTGGGAAAACAGGCATGACGTTTTTTGACGGACCCAGGAACACTCGCAGCTAAAATCTATAAGGCAAGGTATTATCCCACAACCAGTTTTACAGATGCAACTATTGACAATTGCCCAAGTTACTGTTGGAGAAGTATAATGGCAGCCCATGCAATGGTAGTCTCAGGGGTGCGAAGGAGGATTGGGAATAGACAGACAACTTTAATATGGGGGCATCCGTGGTTACGAGATAATCCTAGCCCATTGATTCAAACAGAAATGCCAGAACAATTGAGGGAGGCACGGGTTGCAGGATTAATTGATTTACAGACTCATACCTGGGATCCACATATTTTATCTGACTTGTTTATTCCTGAGGATGTGGAGCGAATAAATATGATCCCTATTAGTCCTGATTACGAAGACTCATGGTATTGGATGAGTGACCCAAAGGGGACATATACAGTCAAGAATGCCTATAGGCATATTGTGGGTGACTATGAAAATAATCCCGCGATTTTCAATAAATGGATTACAATGTGGAAAGTAAAAGTCCCCCCAAATGGAAAACTTTCTTGTGGAGAGCTATATGTGACATTTTGCCAACAACCATTAACTTGATATTTAAAAGGGTGGAGGTGGACCCAACATGCCCAATGTGTGGTTTAGATCATGAAGATGTGTTACATGTTTTAGTGCTATGTGAATATTTTAGACTTGTATGGAATATAACACAATTGCCTATCACTAATATTATTGCAGACTCTTTTACAACATGGTTAAAAGGGGCTATGGCGGTCTTGACGGAGGAGCAGACCCGGTTGATGGTAGCAATATTATATTATATCTGGAGAGCCCGGAATTCAGCTGTCTGGAAGGGATCAATGACGCGGCCTGTCCAGTTTGCCAGAGCAGCAACTGTAGCGCTACAGGCATACGGCGCTGCCCAGGCCAGCCGTACCGAGCCGACAGCGGCTTCGGAGCATTTAACCGAACCAAGGGAGGGCGGTCTACGGTGTTATGTGGACGCGGGTTACCGACACGACACAGGCGAGGCTACGTACGGCATGTTGATTATAGCGCCAGATGGCTCTTTTGTGGCAGCAAGGAATGGCAAATTACAGATTTGTTTTTCACTACTTATGGCGGAGGCCCAGGCATACAAGGAAGCACTGTCCTGGTTACTTGAACGGAACAACACATCAGTAAGTTTACTCACGGATTGCATGGAATTGACTACGATTATCCGGCACCAACACACGCCGATCCATTCGTACGTTGGGGTCACAATTGACCAATGCAGAACACTTATGTCTTTATTTAATCGTATTACTTTGGATTACATCTCTAGACAGGTTAATTTACATGCGCATACTTTAGCTTCGTTAGCTTTTACACAGGATCAAGCTATGTACTG